GAGAGAGAGGAGAGAGAGAAGAGACCTCTTTATTATATATATATATATATATAGATCTCTTTCAATTTTTAGATTTTATTGCGAACTGTTTTTCATCATTTTTTAATTTTCATTTGAATGAGTTTAGGACATTAAATTTCCCTGTTCGAATTATAATGATTGAAAAAATCCCCAACTTGCAGTAAATGTGATATGGTTTAAAGAGTACGATACGAAGGAAGGGGAAAGTAAGTTATGATATTTTATTAGAATTTTTATTCAACGAAAGCAGAGGCGAGAACAGACAACTCAATGTGGTATAGAATTCCCGGTAATTAGGAAACTTATAGTTCCGGTCAACTTAACTATATATTCTCCTTAAGGGAATTCAGTGATTCAGTCTTCTTTCAGCTGCCCTTCCTATGTCCTTCTACCCGCAAACATTATTTAAAAAGCATACTTTAGTGCCTCTTTTTACTTTATACAAAAAAAAGATTTTTGGATCAAAATCTTTATGATTGCTTGTTGGAGAAAGTTTATGCTAGCCTTACTATTTATGTAGAATCTCTTTTCTTTACGAAAATATATTTAAAAAAAACATTTGTTTCTGTTGTGATTTCACAGGAATGAAATTGAAAAAGTATCTGAGTTTTCAAGTTCCTAAATGATCTGCATTTTGGGGAAATTGCGGACTCTTGTCCACATTTTGCAACAACCGCACCAAAATCAGTGTCTGTTTTTTGACTATCAAAACAAATCGTTGAGCTCATCAGTGAATGGATGAATTGATAACATGTTCAATTATTTCCATAATTTAAAGCACTTTTTTGATAACCTAATATTTCCATTTCTGTCCTATTTACGACCACATCTAATAGTTAAAAAGATGTATCCCTAATCGCTGGTGACAAACTTTAGTGTCGATTTTAGTTCGATTTACTGTTAACTTTGTTAAACACTCCTTCCCCTTTCTTTTGCTTTCCGTATCCGTCATATAAATTTTTCTTCTCATTCTCCAACGGTCACAGTTTATTGGTAGCCGACACTGACTATTCACTACCACTTTGTGCAAATCACTTTTCGCTGACTTAGTAACTTCCATCGACAAGGATAAAACACCTGCAAAATGGAATTAAAGTGTGAAAAAAGTTGAAGGTTAAGTAAATAACTTCTGTAATTAGCTAGACCTAATTACATGGGAAATCTTGTAATCTAAAAAACGTGTGAGCTTCACTGTCAGCATTTATAAAATGATTTTTTACATCTTAACTGCTTTTTGTAAGATATGCTCTGAAGTTCTGAAATGTCCAATCACAAAAGAAAGAAAAGACAATTCAGGGGATTAATCATCTAGAAATTTTAGGATATTTCAAGGATATCCCAAAAATTTTCGTTTGTTATTAAAAAAAAAAAATTTGCATAGAAATGCATTCCATTATGCTGGTTATCAATTACTCCACAGTCTGGAAAAAAAAGAAAGGTATAGAAATCCATTTGTCTCTTATGAAAATTGAACAAAAAAAAAATGCTGATCTTGACACTATCTGTTAATTTCCTAACGTGTAACTAATGTTAATTTCCTAACGACAAATACGCATGGATTCAGCCTTTTGTTTGTTAAAAAACGAGAGAAATTGTGGTCATTATCAGTATTATATTAAATTTATCTAATCTAAATTCAATCAAAAATCGTCGCATAAATAAGGTTACCAGTCGTCTTATAACGAGAGATGGTCAAAAAAGGGGAGGGGGAAAAAAAAAGAAAGGTATAGAAATCCATTTGTCTCTTATGAAAATTGAAACAAAAAAAAAATGCTGATCTTGACACTATCAACGATTATCAAAGGTTACTTTTTGCCGACAAGATGCGGGGACCGTTCACTCCATTTTGTGTTTGTAAAAATTGTTAAAATTGATCATACTTTTTCACAGCAATTATGTTGCTAGAATCTCTTATGTCTTGAATGTAGTAAATGTTCGTACTTTCTTCCACCCTTTCAAAATTACGTAAATTCTGCCGAAGTTTGGAATTTTTATATGCTAGTGATAAAAGAAATGCAGCGGTTGTAGGCTCGTTTATCATTAGGAAAACCTGAGATCCAGTCTTCCTCCTTTATAGTACCGGTCCATCAAAGTTTCCTGTTTGCATTTGACACGCTTTTGCACTACTATTACCACTATCTCCATCCTCATCACTAAGATCATTCTCATCGACTGGTCATTATTGTTTTCATCAGACATGAAGCATAAGCAGGCTGAAAATATTATTTTAGAATCTTAGATATTCTCCATATATTTAAAAATATTTGGATAGCTCCCCATTGGATGGATAATTTATAATACTGTAAATTGGCAAAAAATTGGGTGGAAGGTGTTTTCCTTCCTCTATCATGTCATAACTAAATTACTGTCTTTGTACCATCTTTTATAAATATCCAACTCATCCACGAGCCAATTTACGTGTCACATTCTTGCAAGCATCGGACACACTACTGAGGATTTGGAAAGTTTTAAAATCTTAGGAATTTCGAAACATTTTCGAAGTTCATAAGAAAATATTCTCGACCGGAAAAACGATCGACTTTTTCTGTCAATTACGAATTGATGGTGAATTTCGACAAACGAAATCGTTTCTCACAATCAACACTGATAGTTTTGTTGCTTCTGAATTTCTTGCTTTAAATTTCAAATTCCGTTCTTTTGTCGAATAACAAAGTGAAAGTCTCGCTTACCTGTTAAAAGTCAGCTAATAGTGAACACAGTCTATAAAGGAAGAATATTAGTTTGCCAATTCTCATTATACAGTGCGTTTGGTTTAGGTATTTCTCTCTTATACTTAACTTTCCTTCTGTTGTCAACCGTTGGTTAGTGCATGGAAAATAGTTTAGGTGTAAATCACCAAATAGCATCTGATAATGACTTTTTGTTGGCCACTGATCAAAGATCACCATCCCTTGTTTACAGCTGCTTTCAGTCGATTTGCTTTGTCTCTGTACTTATTGGGAAGCGCAACGTTTCGAAAAACGACATGACTTAGAAGTGTAAAAAACTTACTACTATAGTTAGATGTTTTTACCTCTAACCATAAACCATCCCTACTCATCACATTTCCTTGTGTTTTTTAAAAGACTGGAGGAGAAATCGTATCCTTTTCATTTATTGATATCAGTTACATTTTTCTGTTCATTTGTGAAGTAAGTCACTAAAATTTCAGTGTTGGTCAGTATGATGGCGTCCTCAACGGAGGAGGACGACCATCATGCGGATGATCCACACAAATCAGATTTGTGGCAACAAACGCTTCAAGTGAGTTTTTTGAATTACTGATATAAAATTTGAAGTTTCTAAAAAAACTTCTAAAAAAAACGAAAATCTCTTCAATCCTTCAAATTTCGGAAAATAATTTATTAATATAACTATTTCCATACTTATAACAACGATTCATTTTAGGCTGCAGTTGCGGCCACATCGCAATCGGAAGCTGCGAAAAAACGGCAGCAACAGCGTAAACCGATGCGACAAAGTAATGTAGTAGAGAGAAGTGAACGTTCATTGTTGTGTCTTACACTCTCGAATCCTCTCAGGAAGGCTTGTATAACCATTGTTGAATGGAGGTAAAGTTTTGTTACTAATAGCAAAATGATAGAGGGAAGAAATCGTTTATCGGTGTTTCCGTTTCCTAGACCAAAATTTTGTTGAAGTGGAATTTATTGTCCCGGTATTTGCCAGAAGCTTGTACCAGTTTTTCACTTCAGTATATCATAATATATAATTTATTACATCAAAATTTGTGTGAAATTTCAGACCCTTTGAATGGCTAATCTTATTGATGATATGTGCAAATTGCATAGCGCTGGCTGTTTATCAGCCCTATCCTGCTCAAGATTCTGATACGAAAAATATTATTTTGGCTAGTTTATTATCTCTCAAATTGTTCATATATATATATATATATATATATATATATTGCACAACACTATATTATTATGAATTTTTTGTCCAGGGGCGGGATTTCAGCTGCCGTTAGTTAGCAGGGATTTTAGTAACGTGAAGTAAGTAAGCTGAAAAAGTTAGTGTGGTATTAAGCTTAAACCAGTTAATGGATAGAAGCTAATATGAAATCCTGGGAAGAGCAATCAACATGATTAGCTCATCAAATCTAATTAACACCTTCATAATTGCAGGAGCAAATAGAGTATCTTTTCATAGTTGTATTTACAATAGAATGCGTATTGAAAGTTATTGCTCTAGGATTTTTATTTCATCCTGGCGCCTACCTCAGGAACGCATGGAATATACTCGATTTCATCATCGTTGTTATTGGGTAAAGTTTCGTTCCGGGTTGTCGGGAAAACATTCATGTGGTTAGCAAATATAAATCATATTAATTTATTACTGATGGGAAATAAGTGAAAATAATTTTATGATTGCAGACTGGTGAGTACGGCGTTATCCAGGATGAACATTCAGGGTTTTGATGTGAAAGCGCTTAGGGCATTTCGAGTACTTCGTCCTTTACGTCTTGTATCTGGAGTGCCTAGTTAGTTTACCACATTCACATGTTTATAATTAAGAAGGATCTATTCATGAGCATTTTATTCATAATTATTTGAGGATAACTGCACATTTTACACTTCTTTAAAGAGAAATTAAAATTCTTGGAACAGTGTAATGCTAAGTCCCGAAAAAAAAAAAAATAAATGCTGGAAGCCAATCGTTTTTTACTAACGAGATCCAGAACTGAAAAGAAAGTAAATATGAAAAAAAAAAAACAAATTTAAAGGAAATATTCTGTCGTGCGTTAAACCATCCGTTCCATATAATGTTAAAGTGGATAATTTAAAACTGATGGAGGAAACAAAAATTTCAAATATATTTTAAAACATGAATCACGTAATAACCATTAAAAAAATGTACAAGTGTGTCAGCGTTATTGACTTAAACTGAAATAAGTTAAAGGTTTACAAGTTGTATTAAACGCAATTCTCCGTGCTATGATCCCACTGCTTCATATCGCGCTATTAGTCATGTTTGTTATTATAATATACGCAATAATTGGACTGGAATTATTTTGTGGCAAACTTCATTCAACATGGTTATTCTTCTACAAACTTTGCAAATCAAAATTCTGTAGAATAAGAATTGATATTTACCATAAAACAGTGTAATAAACCAATCTGAAGTTCAATATTTATAAAAAAAAGGGAAAAGTAACTCATTTTAGCTTTGACTTAGCAACTGGAGAGCTAGCGCAGCATACGCCTTCAACATGTGGTTTTGCATCTTCAGCATTCCACTGCCAACCAAATGGTAATTAAAATTTGTGCAAAAAAATTAAATAATTAGATTTGAAGGAAAACAGGTTGGGTCAGAGTATGTACAATCACCGGTCATGAACTTCACTGGAGTTAATGCTATTGCATTAGTGGATGAAATCATGTTTAAAATGATCGGAACCACTTGATAATTTAATATGACAATTTTTGAATTGTGATGCAGTGACAAATCATATACGAGTTACATGCACTTCTTGAAAGGATTCACTCATTGCTAGCATTGATACTATTCCAATAAATTTACTTACTTGATGCACCTAGCTTTTGGGTAAAATGATGGTACATTTTGTGATTGGCATATTATCAAAATATTCCAATTTCATGAAATTTGAACAGGACACTACGAAGGAGTGCATTGGATCTGTGCGTCAAACACATCATGGCAAGGACCAAATAATGGAATAACGAATTTCGACAATTTTGGTCTAGCCATGTTAACTGTTTTCCAATGCGTCTCACTTGAGGGCTGGACTGACGTAATGTACTGGGTTGGTGAATAGTCAAATTCAGTTTTTAATTCTGAATCACAATCATTGAAGATGAAAAGGAAAATTTTTAGAAGTGCCTTTTAATCAAAAGGTTTTATCGCAAAGAACTTTGAAATTATCACCAGGAACTCATATTAATTTCACAAATAATAATGTCATAACCCATGTTTTTTTCAAACAAAACTTGGGCAGAATTTCGGCATGTTGTCTTCCAAAGAGTCGTTCTATGGAAAAGTTATCCTTAAGAATTTCAAAAGTTGTTGTTTCAGGTGAACGATGCAGTCGGTCGGGAATGGCCGTGGATATATTTTGTTACTTTAGTTATTTTAGGTTCTTTCTTCGTGCTAAACTTGGTGCTTGGTGTACTTTCCGGGTTCGTATACTTTTTTCACTTCTGTATGATCTATAAATGTGCCTATTGCAGGAACTCGTTCGGTGTAATTGTTATTTGATGATTAGTTGCTACAATATACGCGTCGAAATTTGAATTTCTAATTTTAGAGAATTTTCCAAAGAAAGAGAAAAAGCAAGGGCTCGTGGTCTTTTTCAGAAATTTCGAGAAAAGCAGCAACTTGAAGAAGATTTGAAAGTAAATCCTTTAAAATTTTTTACTGAGTAGTTGTTATAAATGAAGAAGTTGTAATAATATTACACTTATAGGGATATTTGGATTGGATTAATCAAGCGGAAGATATCGAACCCGTTAATGATGATGAACAGGAGGATGAGCAACAATTCAACGGTATGAATTTTAAGGCCTTTTAAACGTTGCTATAAAATGTATTTTCTGCCATGAGAAAAAATGATAGCATCTGCTTATTTTTTAAGTTTTATTTTTGTGCCAAAATGCTTCGAAAAAAGCCAACTTTTTTGTTTTGAAGTGGTAAGTCTGAAGGAAAAATTAAATTTGATTAGTTTGATTAAATATGCGGTTGAAAGTAAATCCTACAGGTGAAGAGCTTGATGAAGAAGCCGATGAGAAAACAGATGATTCAAGACCTTCGTGGTGGAAGAAAAGACTACGAAGAATGCAGAAATTGAATCGGCGATGTCGACGTGGTTGTCGAAGGTTGGACACATTTTTGATATTTACTTCTCACTTCATTTATTAGGCTCATTCTGTCTTTATGAGTGAAATAATGATTAAATCACTTCTTCGAAGGTCGATCAAATTTTTAGTTGTATTCCAGGCTAGTAAAGTCGCAAACATTTTACTGGCTTGTGATCGTTCTAGTATTGCTCAATACGCTCGTTCTAACCACCGAGCACTACAAGCAAGAACCATGGCTTGACCATTTCCAAAGTTTGTTTTGTTTTTTATTAATAACAGTTCAAAAGGATTACTTTCCCCGGGAAAGAAGTCAGAATTCATTCTCGTTCCTGCTATAGACTCATAAACCATAATAAGCAGCAGTAGTAGTGTTATTTGAATAATCATGGAAAATAACTTTCTCCTGTATCATTAATTTAGTTTGATGTCAGGATTCTCATTACACTTCAGTTTTTCTAAAGACATGTAGATGATTTGTGAGAACACTGCCTCGCCCTCCTAATTATTAATTGGTTCATCGTTTGAATCGATAATTAATATGCTAAAAAGGAAAAAAAAGAAAAAATATATTTTATTCGGGAGTTAAGTTTTGAAAGCTTCTTTAATTCATATCTATCTGACCGAACTTCTAGTTGCGTGAAACTCTTTTTTTTTTTCAAACAAGGAGATACTTTCAAAAGTTGTTGTTTTAGCAGTGGCAAATTTATTTTTTGTTATATTGTTTTCAATGGAAATGATTTTGAAAATGTATTCACTTGGTCTAACGACTTACACAACGTCACAGTTTAACAGATTTGATTGTTTCGTTGTCATAAGGTTTGTGAATAATCGATTTTTTTTTTTCTTTTTCCAGTAATTCAGCTGTTTTACTTATTCAGTCTTGTAAAAAATGAAATTTCTAGATATGCTTACACCATCCTAACTGTTCATATTTATTTCCAGTTCTATCATCGAATTTGTTCTCGTCTATTTTGATTTGATGAAGCCGTTGGGTGTTTCTGTACTGCGCTCAGCTCGTCTTCTTAGAATATTCAAAGTTACCAAGTAAGTTGGAGTTATTCATATTCTGACCTATTAGCTAGACATTTTTTCTGCATATTGTCGGAAATAGATATTTTCCAAGTTTTAGAAAATATTGCTGGATTTTCCAGAATGACACATTACCAGTGTATTGAAATATAATTACGCTTTGTAATTATATTATCAAGCTCACCAAAACTGCAGGGTCATTCAAGTATTGCCATACCCAGCACTGATGTGGTGCGTGTCACACCCTGCAGTGTTCTCAGATTCCAGACAAATTATTCGTTTTAAAATCTCAAATGGAATAGTTCATGTCAGCTTCTTGGTGTCAATTTCTGTTTAAGCTATCAGCAGCATTCTAGAGTGCCGGACCTTTATCAGACAACATTTGGCAGTATTTTCTCTGTATATTCAAAGCTTCAGGAAATATATTCCGACATTACCCGGCCACTGTTTTTTTTTCGCATTATGATACAATGTTGAGATCCCTGGAAAAATAATTTAGATATTCAACAGTCACTGAATGAATTGCAGGTACTGGACCTCGTTGCGCAACCTTGTTTCCTCTCTGCTCAATTCTCTTCGCTCTATTATGTCACTTCTGCTACTTCTTTTTCTATTTATTGTTATTTTCGCTTTACTTGGAATGCAGGTAATGATTTGATGGGTCTTCCAAGGTTGCAAAAACTGATCGGATTGCCGATGCTTATTTTCTTGCGCTTGTATAGAGTATAAGATTTCCACAAATAGTTTATGTGGCATGAATATCCACGGTTGTGATGCAGTCGCAAACGAAATGCGATTATTAGGTCGTTGAAGGAAGCTCACAATATTAGCCTCAGCTACATCGGTGAAATAAGTTTACATAAACCACAAAATTCTTATGAATCTGTACTATCTTTTGAAATCCAGACTTTGTGTTCATACTTTTATTCCAGGTGCTCGGTAGTAAATTTAATACTTTGATATCAAATTTGATGGTAAATTTAAATAAAAACCTAGGTAATTTGAGTACTTTGACTTCAGGTATTTGGTGGTAAGTTTAATTTCAATCCAATGAATCCTAAACCACGTGCAAACTTCGACACTTTTATCCAGTCGTTATTGACTGTGTTTCAGGTAATTATAAGCTAGGTTTTTCCTTTTTTTTTAATAAGTAATTTGAATAACACTTCGAAAAACCAGTGTAAATTAACCGTTCAAAATTTATGGATGAGTTATGCATTAATGGCCATTTCAACCACTATTAACAGTGTCGACCGTTAAAACTCGATTAATGTATAATACAGTTTGAGATGTTATATCCCAACCCACATTAATCACGTGTAAAAAAGCACTGTGTTGTTTCTTCCAAAGCATTCGGAATTATTCTTTGTATTTCTGACGGCAGGTTAGTTACTGTACCCACTGGTAATTAATTCAAGATTTGAACATCCGCATACTGGTGATGGAACAATATGTGAGATTTGAGTTGATATTTACATAAAATTGAATTTAATCAATTCCATTACACTACTTTATATTTTTATTTATTTGTTTGTCCATTTGTTTGTTTGTTTATTTGTTTATTTATTTATTTGTTGATTTTTATTCGTGTTTGTATTCATCTAGTAAATATGAAATTTTAGATTCTAACTGGTGAAGACTGGAATACAGTGATGTACAATGGTATCGCATCATTTGGCGGTGTTGGCTCATGGGGGGTGCTTGTTTCCGTTTATTTCATTGTTTTATTCATTTGTGGTAATTACATATTGCTCAACGTCTTCCTTGCCATCGCGGTTGACAACTTAGCCGACGCAGACAGCTTAACAAATGCTGAGAAAGAAGAAGAACAAGCAGGTATGTTTTTGTCCTCCGCAAGGCTTTAAGATGGTCTGAGTAGCATTGATTTAAACTGTCACATAGTTTTTAAACGTCTGTTAATAAGAAAATACTCTCACTTCTAGTCGATTGAAGTCAGTATTGCAGAAGTTGAAGAAGAAGTGGCAGAAGATGATTATGAAGATGAAAAGTATGATGAAAATGGTAATGAGGAGACGAGGGACGATAGCAGGTCTCTTTCAATTTACATTTAATATTTGCTGAAATTTCCACCAATTCTTCGGTTTGCTATGACAGTTCCGCATTATCACTAGCAGCACCATTTTTGGCTTTTTATTTTCTGAGTTGCTTCAGAAGCGAGAGTCACTTTGATTTGTCCGCTGTACATACCTGAGTTACGTTCTACATGATGGACTATGTGGAGTGGTATTATTAAATGATATCATTTGGCAGTATCTATTTGCTTTTCTTAAAGTTATAAGTGCAACTTCAAATCCTGTTGTTTTAAACTCAAAATCATACTTAAACTGTCAACTTCTTCAGAATAGTTATGGAAGAAGAAGAGGAAGGCGGTGAAATAATAACTGCACGACCGCGTCGGATGTCCGAATTGGTTACTGCCAAACAACAGAAGCCTATCCCAAAAGCTTCATCATTGTTCATTCTTTCTCATACAAATCCTTTTCGGTAAACTCTTTAATGCTTGATATAATATTAAAAGAGGAATTTCCTCAGTGGCTGTCTGAATAACATGTAAACATTTACCGAAAAGAATGAAACCCGACCAGAAGTATTGAAAAGTATAGTGCGGGATGACAGTATGCCTCGGGTTTACTGAAAAGTTACTTTATTACTATTTATTAATACCTGAAGTTATCAGTATGTGTTATCTTTTTTAAGATTCAAAGGTATATTTTTGTATGGATAATTTAAACGTTACAGGGTATTTTGTAACAAAATTGTCAATCACTCCTACTTCACAAACAGTGTGTTGATATGCATTCTTGTTTCCAGTGCAATGCTTGCAGCAGAAGATCCTCTGGAAGCGCAGTCACCTCGTAACACAGTAAGTTATTATCAACTTTCCTTAGTGTAGTGTGGTGATATATGTTTGTCGTCTAACTCATCAGCAGAGTCAAATGCTGTCTGAACAAACAAGCCCGATATAGTTTATGTTATAATATAATATAGTTTAAGGTACTAAATTCCAAATTTTAGTTATGATTTATGTTCTAGAATATCAGATTTTTTTTTTTTGTATGTGTAATGGTGGGCGTGGTACCAAACAGAGTAAACACTACCAAAAAAATAAGACCCATATAAGTGATGTAACATTTCCGGCTTGTTATACCTTGTCTGCTTGAACTATGAAGCTTTACAGATTTTGAATTATTTCGACTACTTTTTCACCACGGTGTTCACTGTTGAAATAACGCTGAAGGTGGTTGTTTATGGATTGATGTTTCACAAAGGTTCATTTTGTCGGAATGCGTTCAATCTGCTGGATATTCTTGTTGTCGCTGTGTCTCTTGTATCTTTTGTCCTCAAATCAGACGCTATTTCTGTTGTTAAAATCCTTCGAGTTCTGCGGGGTGTTGAGGCCATTGAGGGCAATCAATCGAGCCAAAGGCCTTAAGGTTGT